AGTGTATCTGCGAAACAGGATGCTCTCCAAAGCCATCCACTTGATTGGTGTCTAGAAACAAATTTCAAGTCTTCAGTTAACAACACATATTTAATCCAATTATTTTTATCTGACTGAAAGTCAATGTTTCAGCCAGTATACGAACCTTGATTTCATTGTAAAAATACTTTTTGTCATCAGGGTACAGTAGGTCGGCAATGCCGTAGTCGGAGATTTGGACAGTGTAGTTTTTCTTCAACAGCACATTTCTGGCAGCCAGGTTCCTGTGGACCATCCTGTTCTCCTCCAGGTAATACATACCCTGAGTGGAGGAGAATATTGTATAATGAGTACACCATCCTGTCTCGTCTTGCATAGGGAAGTGTTGCTCAGTCAGGCCATTTGATTTTTACCTTCGCGATCTGCACACACCAGTTGAGGAGCCTCTGGGGACTGAGCTTGTTCTTGTTGTTCCTGACGTGCTCCAGCAGGGAGCCTTGGTTGTTGAGTTGGGTGATGAGCTGCAGGTTGGCGCCGGGACAGATACCGAGGATCCGGACTACATTGATGTGGTCCAAGCTTCCCATCACCATCATGTGCTGCGGTCGACATTGAGAACTCGTCACTATTGCTGAACGTTAAGTTTTTTGATTAAAAAAAAAATGTTGCTGATAAATTAATTTGATCATTGAAATCAATTTATCGCCCAGTGCCCAGCTATTCTCTTTTTGAAATGAACGGTGTTTTGCTTTCTCACATCTGTCATTTCGAAGAATGTCTGCCGCCCAGTGCGATCATGAATCGTTTTTATGGCAACTGGAAGCTTGACTGTGTCTCCTTCAGGGATCCAAATGCCCTGTGAAATGCAGAAAGACTTCAGTGTGCTTTTCATCGGTAGCAAGGGGTGGCACAATCTTCACTACCTTATGAACTGATCCAAACACGCCGTGACCCAGCAGCTTGATCTTACGCAACTCAGTGGACTTCAAGATACGAGCGTGGACTTTGGGCCCCTTCTCACCAGGATCCAATGGCTCAAAACCCTGAGAGCACACAGCAAACAAAGTGTGTTTCAAACCGAGAAGGTCTTAGTTGGCGACGACCACAATGAATCCCACC